TTCTCAACAACAACATTGTAGCCATTATCAAAAATAGTTATTATTTAGACGGAGTTGCTAATCTATATTATTACTTAAAAGAAAATAAATAATTAATAAAATAAATAAAAGAAAATAAATAAATAAAAAATAAATAAAGAAAATAGATCATTTGTTAGCGAATCATGTCATTTTTGTGGATCTTTAAATTAATTATTTAAAATATGCACTACAAACTGCAATGGTTGTATATATAAATATATACAACCATTATATATACAATATATATACATATATATATATATTGTTGACTATATAAAAACTGTATAAAAATTATCGGGAATTGTTAAACATGCAACAAACAAAAATCATTAGTCGATCACATTTTTTTTATTATAAAGTGAAAAATATAATATAACTACAGGCAAACTTCCATAACTCGAACTTCTATAACTCAAATCTCCTCTAACACGAACTAAAAAGAGTTCAAAAGAGAGTTTTAGAGAGCAAATTGGATGAATTGGAACTCTGCTTCCATAACTCGAATTTCTCAATAGCTCGGATAAAAATGTTGTCATAAAAAATATTGAATATGGGAAAGTGCATTCTATGAGTCAAATTTTTGAATTTTAAGTATAAATACTTTTTACTGTTAGGGGAAGTCCAAATATATTGAGCTTGACAATGAAATTTGTACATCAAGCTTTCTTACAGATGACGATATTATGGAGCATTACAGCTCTGAATTAGTGGATACGAGTCTAAGCGGAACGGAAAGTAATGATGAGGGTTCGGTGGATGTGATTGTTCATTAACCTTCCAAGAATGAAGTAGAAGACTTATTCAAAAATTTGAATTCTTATTTACAAACGAATGATGCTCCAATTGATGATCACTATAAGGCTTGGAATAAATTGGAATCTCTTTTTACTGAAAATAAGAAAAATAAATTAAAATCCCAAACCCTAATTTTTGAATATTTTACTTCACTATAACATCTGTGCTGTATTTGATTTAAATTAAATAAATAAATATCTTAAAATGTCTTAAAATACTGTCCTTTTACTTCGTTTCAAAGAAAATTGTTTCCAGTATAATTATCATAAGATTCGATAAAAGTAGTAATCCGACCTTTTCACACCTAATAGATAAACCGACCTAGTGAATTTAGTTGCGTTTACACTATCAATTTGTTTTGTTTTATTTTGTGTAAACGCATGAAGGCTTTATATATAGTAGTACACAAGTACGTTATAGAAAATTGATGAAGTATATGTTTATTCTCCTTCACCTCTGCTCCTTATGAAACTGGTTTTTGAGCGTCTTGATGACGCTAATGTGAACAGACTTAAACGTTTTGTGGATTAAGAACAATATTGCTATAAACTAAAAGTTATAAAAATCAAGATGGTGAACGGTTCATATTTTTTTGAGGTTGGTCTTATCGCAACTGAGCCAAACTGGATATACTTTCACAACTTAAGATAATTATATTATTTATTTCGTAAACTGGTATTAATACACCAGATATAATATATAATATTATTTTATGGTAAGATATCGAGAGTAAAGAGATTTAAAGTATATATAAACATAAGGTTTAATAAATTATTAGTAATGTTTTTGAAAATATATAATAATTGACAAATAAACTAATAAAAACAAAGAAACATAACAACTATTAATAATGATAATTATAAAAATAATATGTGTAAAAGAATACAACGTAGATGAAGTTCAACATAGAAATATATTGGTTGGCTGTTAGTTTGCAAGAAATATTCTATATAGTTAATAGAACTGTGTGCTTTATAATGGACTAAGTTTCTAAAACGTGCTTAAATCTATGTGTGTGAAAATTTTTAATTTAACACAAATACAAAGAATGGAAAAAAAATCTCCAAATCCACGATACTATAAGACAGCTTCAGTATATAATATACGGAATATACATAACCTAAGTTAGGCGAAGTAATTATTATCACTAGTATATGGTAAACATTCTTTACTTAAGTTTTTATAAAATGAAGTTAAAAATATAGTCAAAATATTAGCAAAAATTATTAGATAATAATTGAATGATTTAACACTGTTTAAGAATCTATTTATTTGAAACATTTACGATTTAACTGCCTACACATACTAACTTAATACTGGGCCCCACACTATATACCCAATGTAGAGTCTTTATTTATTTATAAAAAAATTATTTTTTAATAATTTGTTCTATTATTCTTTATAAAAGTTAACTATATTGATTAATATTTTACAGTTCCTCCAATGTTATCCATACCAAATCAATTAGAGGGTGCCTACTTGGGGCAAGATGTCATGTTAGAATGCTATTGTGAAGCTTATCCCGCATCTATTAACTATTGGACAACTGAAGCCGGTGATATGATTATATCTGGTAAGTACCTCAATAAAATTTTGTAAAAGGTAATAAAAGGCTGGCATGAAATTATTATTCTACATACTTCGAAATATCACAATTGTTTAGACTCTAGAGGGTCATTTTAATAAATAGTGTTAGTCTAATTAATTTCATTTTTCACATAAATTAATTAGTATGCACACAACCAATTACGACTGCTACATAACATATTCTTATTAAATATGTTGAATATGAATAGCTCAAATGGAGCCATATATATTAATTGTCATAAACATAATAGAATTGAATATATTGAAATTGTGAATTGGCATTTTATAAAATGTGTTTTGTTGTTTTCTTTCTATCAATTTGGCTACATATTTTTCAGTCACATTACATTATCTTTAGCATCAATTATTTTACCTTTACTGTCCAATACTGGAATTGTATGTATTAAAAACTATAGCAGGTGCTTTCACAGCCCTCTTTTGAGATAAATTTAACCCCAGTAAAAAAATGCTGGAGAGAAAAAACAAATAAGATTCCAACAAATAGATGTATCATGTCTACTATGATGATGATCTAATATTGTTATGTTAGAATGCCTTAATTTGCTCTTCAGAGACATTTGTATCAATATATAATAACCTTGTAAACGCTTTAAACTAATAATATCACAATTCTTATTGTTAATTTCGTCCACGTCATTATTTGTGAAGATTATTATTTTTGAGACCCGGACCACTTTCATGCACATATATTTTATAGGTATGATGCATTTTTTATTACATATTATCCTACTTTTCAAAAGTAATTCAATATCGTTCCGTCTTTACAGCGATTTATATATGAAAATTCGATATAACAAATTATTTTTAAAAGGCGTATGAAAGACCTTGCTAGCAGTCTTTTGAAAGCTTTTTTCGGCAGTATGTCTTAGTCGATGTCTAAATATGTGATTTTGAAATATGTGATCTTCTTCAAAAGGCATTACAGACTGCTCAATGTCTAATATTAATCATGTCTTATAAATTTTCATAAAGGCACATCTGTACTGCTTTGGAACCTGAATTAGGATATTTTGAATTATATTTTTTTGTTTTATATGAATCAATTTATATCATTGTTTTAAACATATCTACAATGTTGAGCTATTATCCAGTCAACTATTTTAATTGTCAGCTAAAATATTAATATACATGAGTGATTCGACTAAGCCCTATAAAGCTCTCGAAATTATCGATACCAAGTATAATACTCAGAAAGAAGTATTAACTACTAAAAGTATTTGGTACCACAAAAAAGTGTCAAATTTTTACATTTATTTTTGTATCTCTAGACTAAACTAACCAAAGTGAGAAACCTGCGTAACGTACAGAGCAAATGTTGTCTTATCCATCGATTGCGTTGAGTCATTCTATAGGTAGGCCTATGACTCATTCGCTATGGTTGTAAAATTTTACAATTAAGTGACATATTTTCCAAAAATAATATTTATTAAAATATTACTTATTCTTCATAGCACCAGAAACGTTTTCTCAAATATTCACTTGTCAGACGGCAAGAGTATTTAGCTTTATTGCATATAAAACACGTTATAAAACAAATTGTATGCTTATGTACATAAGAATACCTTCTGCTCAAAAAGTACTCGGCTTTTGTAAATAAAACACACAAATTTAAATTTTATTCCAAATTTATCTTATCACCTTCAAAATATGCTCCTTCTGAAGCGATACACATATGCCAACGCTTAACCCAATCTTCCATACACTTTTCGTAGACCCGTGAAGGTATGGTTTTTAGTTTCTTCAGCGAATTCTCTTTTACCGATTCAATTTGAGTTTCGGGAACAGGAAAAAGTCGCACGGATCCAGACCTGACGAATGTGGTGCCTGAGCGATGACAGTGGTGCCGTGTTTGGGTGTTTGGTCAAAAAATCGCATACAACAAGAATTTTCCATAGTAAAAATCGCTAAATGCACTTGAGGTATTCTCACATTAACAGGTGATGTAAACAAACTAATTGACAGATGGTGTTCATATTTGTACCATATATCAAGAAAGGGTGTACCAATATAACAAAAAAAAATATTTGAAAAAGGTCTATTACTTAAGGAGTAATTAACAAACAACTAAATCCGGATACTTTTTGAACAGAAGGTATATAATATAATTATGATAATATATACTATTTTGCAACATTAAGCCTTCCTATTATATCATGGCAGACGATAAAATTTCCAGCAGTACTGGCTGGAAAGTAAAGTGCAGCAGTTCACCATCCATATAAACAATGAAATAATAATTCCATTCCTGATAGTCAAGGATAATGCATATTGAAATTGAATATGCGTTGCAGTATAGAACGAATCACTGAGTTTAAATTTATGGTGAAAACTGTTGTAAATGAGTTGCACAATTTTTGCATTGTTGGATTTCTAACTAAATTGTTCGTAACGTAAGGGCGGGGTGGTGTGCGGTGCAGTTCAATGCAATGACTGGGCACTTATTTGAATATTCGCACCAAAGCATACTGCAATCATATAAGACAATCAGCTATTCCATTCAGTCAGTCAACCATTGGACCAGCTAACCAATCAACCAACCTACCAACAAGTTTTCAACAGCACTGAAAACTATGCAACAACAAAAACAGCGGGAAACTTTTTAATGACAACACCAACAACAAAAACATAAACAATACACTTATCGCAACGACAACACCATGAACAATTCTATATCCTTGTTTCATTGCGAAACTCACATGTACGGCAACGTAAGCAAGTGGTACGCGGAACACGTAATAATCCGTGTAAGACTTCCTCACACCCAGCAAACATTTGCACTTTAAATCAAATTAAAGTCAATTGCACCTCTAGTAACTTTAAGTGTCGAAGCTCTAGTTGAGTAAAACTTTTGGACGAGATTATTTGCAGGTGAAACACAAAAACAGAATTCATTTAAATCTAGAAAATTTTTTAAACCAAAATTATTTTATTCAATTGCGCCTAGTCAAAAACAAAAACTACTTAGCCATATTTTTACATCGGGAACTTAAAATAGTCGATATTAATCCTTATCAGTAATACAAGTATTACAGTATAATGATTAATATGAAATCTAATTAGTAAAATCGGACGGTTTGGTTCTTTCTTTTATGGTATGTGCTTCAGCCTGAAGCGTGATTACTTCGACAACAGTCAGAACATCCAAGTCACGATAAAGGTCACTATTATGGACATACTATGGAAAATTGCCCTTAGGATGTTGTTTTAATATCGTTGGATTATCTGCGTATTTGACTGAGACGTGCAACCCCAGATTTTAGACTTGAGAAAATGTTTGTATTAACACAGAGATTTCTGTAATAATTCTGTTACGATATAAGCGAGCACAAAGGAGAAAAACAATACTTACGTGAAAACTTAAAGCCTCGTGCTATAGAAGGCAATAAACCGTAAACATATATAACCGTGTAACCTTCAGTTGGTTGAGCAGTTAATGAACCACATCTTGAAGGATCTGAAGTTCATATTATTATTATTTTATACTCCATTAGGAGTTTAAGTATTCTACAAAAGTTTTCTATTTTGTGCTATTGCTCTTAACTTGTTAAACTATTTGTCCGTCTCCTGCCAAACAGTCCTTCTACAGGTCATTGCTGATCTGCCTCTGCGCTTGGTCTCCCAAGGGTTCCCAGTAAGTGCAATATGTGAGATATCTTCATAAGGCTTACGTAGTGTGTGAAGTTCGTATAATGCTTATTATATTTTTCAATTGTAAGTTTTATATTGCTCTGTTGGGTTTAGCAAAAACCAGTGTGTCCTTTGTGGAAAACTTCATCAAGAGGATCATTTATTTGCGTAGCATAATTTAATTAAGAAGGTTACAGACTTTAGAGACAAGTACTATACCTTGTCTGTTCTTGTATTTTTGCAAGTAATAATTTTTTGTTTGTTTTATAAATTGACTTTCCAGCGAGGCATCGAACCGAATTTTTTTCCGTTCCGGTTCAAGAGAAAAAAATATATCAGTTCGATTCCGGTTTTTGTTCTAGCAAAAGTATCGGTTTCTTCGTTTCGGTTCCGAGTCGCTATTAATAGCAAAGGTATTTTTGAAAATCATGCTATCATCTAAATGATCATTACATTCACTATCAGCTTCAATTAGAAAATTTTATTTTATTTTCATTCCAAATGTATTTACGAAAGAAAATAATATTTTCGAAAGACGAAATAATATTCGCTTCATTGTCTGCAGTAATTGAATGGATTTGCTGGGCATCAATTTCATATATTTCTAAGACTTTTTCGACTACGCTTTTGATATAAATTCCCACATGTTTATTTTACCGTCTAGTACCAACTGTACATTGCTTCCCAAAATTGATTTATTTACTCAATTAGCTATGTCAATCCCATTCATTTCCATACCTATAAATTGACTTTATTTTTAGTCGTTCGGTAGTAAATTATAAGGATTGTTATTATATATAATTTTCATTACTAAATTCTGGTGTTGAATGAGCGTAACGTAGTTTAGGTAGTTTAGAATCACGTCTATATATGTTTATATCGTTTTTACTCACATAAGACATTTATCGTTATCCTATATATGCAATAGAATTGATGATGTACAACTTTTCTCAGTAAAAATCGTATAACCGAAATGCTAGTTCACTATACTTTCCACAGTCAGCATTATTCTACTATGTGACTAGTGCGAATCTCTACTACTTAGAAGCAACTTAGCAAGGACTAACTTTCTCACCGGGTATGCATATCTATAAGCTTGGCAGATGTATCATATTTTTACGTGTGTATGAACAAAATGAATGTACTTTCGGTGTGCATTTCGAAGCAATTCATTTTGGTAATTTTATTTCGGAAATTAAGTTGAGCAATTTTCCAAAAAAAACAAAAAAAAAACACTCATATGCTCAATCATATGAGCACTTGTTTATTAACACAATCCGACGCACGTTGGGTCACTCATACGCCACAAACCAACTCGCATTTTAGCCGTTGTCCATA